GCTCCCCAACCTCCAGAGCACCACACAGTGTAGGTTTCTGCTCACAAAGCAAATCTCCAGGACCTGGTATTCAGCAGTCCCAGGCTTCCACCCGCTCCTGCTTCGTTTCTCTTCCACCCCCTGGTGAGCTGGGTGGGGGAAGGGCTTGGGTCCTGCCGGATCAAGGCTTTGGTACATTACCCTGTTTCGTGAGGTCTGCTCTGTTCTTGAGGTCTATGTGAAGTCTGGTTCAGCCTTCTTTCCTGTTGCTGTTTTGGGGTTAGTTATATTAATTAGCTATATTTTCATACTATTTGTGGTTTTGGGAGGAGTTCTCTGTCCCACCTCTCATGCTGGCATCTTGAATCTCTTGACTCTGCATATATTTTGATGATCAGATCAACATAACTCACTGATTGAATGTGGCATGTAAATGATTGTGGCTTATAAAACAGAAGAGTCAAGGATGATACCACTTTTTTTGGTTTGAGTAACTAAAAAACTGGTGGAATTCAGGACATGCAGGTTTGAGGAGAAAAGCACCATTTATTAAGTCAGAAATGCTTAAGTATCCAAGTGGGGATGTTGAGTAGATAGTTGGGTAAGGGAATCTGGCATCAGACAAGTTTGGCTAGAAATATGACTTTGGGGCTTGTCGCAATTTGCATGGTAATCCATGAAACTGAATGAGATCATCTAAGTAATGAATGTAGACAGGGATAGAGGTCCAGGATTAAGTTCAAAGGTAGGAGAGTTTACATGAGAAGGAATTAGCAAAGGAGCAGCCAGTAAGGTAGGAAGAGTATGAATAGAGTGGTGTGGCCTGGAAGGCCAGTGAAGAAGTGTTTCAAGGAGGGCAAATTGATCAACTGTGTCAAATGCTACGGAGAGGCTGGATAAGATGAGCATTGAGAATTGACCAGTTTAGCACATTTTAGCAATGTGGAGGTCATTGTTGATCACAAGTTGTTTCAGTGGTGTGGTGAGTTCAGAAGCCCGGTTGAAATGTGTTCAAGGGAGAAAGCAGGTAGAAGAAGCAGAGACACCGAGTCAAATGTCAAATGACATTAGGGCATTTTCACTTACATGGCAGATCTGTACAAAAACACCTTCATTTAGTGGCTAATGTGTTGGAGTTCCAGTGTTTAAAAATTTGGTATGTAACACATTTATATGTTTATGTTTTTTTCAATTTCAAAATGGCGGAAAATAAACTTAAAAATGGAAATTTGAGTAAATGTGCAGAAGCTCTGGAGAACCTCCATGGATTCTTATGGTCCCACAGAATACATTTTGAAAGCTTTTACCTTAATCCAGAGGGATAAAATTCTGAAATGAAATTCAGCCATTGCCAAAATAGGTTTAAGAAAGATATTTTTAGGATTTAGAGGGAATCCTCCCTAGTGCTTTTCAGATGACCTTAGAACATTCCTTCCTTTCATCAATCCCTCTGTTTTGAAGTCATTTGAATGAAATGGGGTGTTTCCATACGATATCTTGAACAAATGTTTGGTGGCCAAACGATGCTGACCTTGTAGACCTTTTTGTACCCTCTTGTAGAGAAAAAAAGCACAAGGAATTTTTTACAGTTCTGTTAAAACTTCAGTTTGCTTTGTTTCAGTTTTTAAAGTAAGATACTCTGATTTAAGTGCCTGCTTTTTAAGTTATATTTGATAAGGTATATTTAAATACCTTGAGTTTTAGAGCAACCTACTTCTCTCACTGTAAGTACTTGTTTAAAAGAACAGGCCAGATTGCTCCCTAGTAAGTAAATGATCCTTCACAAGAGAAGTAGATTACTGATTGACAAAACACGTTTTTCTTTCTCCCCCTAAGGAAGTTGGGGGAGTATTACCATATTTTATTGAATCTAAGATGCTATTACTTATACAATGCACTATTATTATTACATGTATTACTAAGAAAAAAAATGCTGCCATTTAGAATTGTAAGATGGAATAAATTATAAGCGATGTGAAAAATTTGGGGAGAAAAAGTTATCTAAGAATCAATGAAACACAGAATTTGAGTGCCAGGAGGTATGAATTCTGGTTCTGGCTGCATTTCTAACTAGCTGTGGAACCACTGACAAGTCACTTAGAAGCTCTTTGACTCACTTTCCTCATTTGTATGATGAGAGTAATGTCTGATCCACCTACCTCATTGGATTATAATGAGGAAGAAATCAGATAGCTATTTTAAAAAGTGGAATCTACTAGGCAAATTTAAGGTATATATTTGATTAATATGAACCCTTAGATATGATAAGGCAATTCAAAGTTTCTTCTTTGAGTTTTGTTGTCAGGTTTAAAATAGAATTTAGAGACATTTCAAAGTATAACATTTTTTTCTGCTAAATGATTTTCATTCAGTCTGGAAATAATATCTGTTTGATGTAGTTTAGAATTAAAGAGAAAGAAAATACAAAGATAATATCGCCTGATGTTCTCATCACTCAAAATTAACAACTGTTAATATTCTGTTAGTGCTGTGATCTTTTTAAAGTTTACTATGAAATATTTATGACATGAAAAGGTAAAAGGATAGAACAATGAACATTTCTATACTTGCCATTGCCAGTACAGGTGAAGCCCCCTATGTGCGAACAGTATCTTACTTTTAGAATAGCATTCAGTAGCCAGTGAGGCAAGATACTCTTTCTCATTTCAGTCTTTAAAATCTGTATATAAGAAAGTTAACTTCTTCATATGAGTGTTTTATTCTGAAATATGAGGGAGAAGGCTACTTTTTGCTAGTGTTGCCTTGGTTTGAGTTTCCTCAAAATTCTACGTATGGCTAGTGTAAACTGGAAGAAAGTAAGACATCTGTAACATCATTTATGTGCCACACATTGTACCTAGATAATTTTTTTGTGTTTAAAGTTTCTCAATAATTCTGGTTAGATGTTTTCATTTTATAGGTTAGGGAGGTATGGCTCAGAAAGTTGAGTAATTTGTCCAAAGTTCCATAGTTGCTAGGTTGTGGAGCTGATGACTTTAATTAAGGTCTGCCTTATACCACAGCCTGCATATTCTAAATACCATGCTGCCTCAATCCTTGTCAGTAATCATGATCTGTTTCTTTTGTAGGCAAAACCCGGAGACCACGTTTGAAGTGTATGTTGAAGTTGCCTATCGTAGGACAGGTGGCACTCTTTCAGGTATTAGCATGTTTAAGTATGATATGGAGTATTTGTTTATTGTATGAGATAGCCATGCACATGGTATAATTATGTGAATATTCTAAACTGTTCTTTATCTTTAAGTATGGTTAAATGTCTTTCCCTTTTATTTGTGCCCAAGTCATCCTAAGGAATGGAGTATAAGCATAGTGAACAATTCAAATTAAGAGTCACTGCCATAACAGGCTTGGCTGATGGCTTTGTTCATTGTAATCATTGAGTTTTGGTTTGTATCTTTCACAGATGCCTGGATGTCAACTATTTAGTGTGAAATAGTGTCACCTTGGTAATGATGAAGGCTTAGAATTAGGTTACAAAATAATACAAAGGGAACTAACTCTCTGCCACTAAACTGGAAGGAGGTGTTTGAAATGGATTTAATTTAGTAAATTTTATGTCTGCTGGTGAAAAGTTAGAAATTAATTGAAGAAAACCTTCTCTGGCTTTAGCTTTTAGACAGATTTGGACATGTATTCCTGGACAATAGGGTCTTAGATAAGTATAGAGTATCTTGTGCTAAGTGTATCACTTCTTGACTCAAAAATCCTTCTTGGTTAGTGAGAAAAAAAAATAACCTTATGACCTAATGTTCTTTTTCTTGGTGCCTAAGAGAGTGATGCATTTGTCAAAGGTATGGTGGGGAGCAACTCTTGGTCCATGTACACAAACAGTTGCATATATTATCTGATGTTTAGGGAAAGTGAATTTACTTGGATCAGAAGTTTGGAGTTATCAAGATTCCAATGTAGTTTTCCCTTAATTGTCTTTACAACCTTTGACATATTTTCTGTTTCATTATTTTAATTAGATTGTAATGCTTATAAACATAGCTACCTTTTATTGAGTATCTGTTATCTGACATGCTTGACATACATAGTTAATCCTTACAATTCAACCCTTAAAAATAGTTGGATGACATCTCCATTGTACCTATAAGAAAATGGAATCTCAGAGAGGTCAAATAACTTATCAAGATCATACAGCTACTGTTTGGAGTAGTTAGGATTTTTGGTTCAAGTCCTCTTCACTCAAACTAAGTTACCTTCTTGAGGATAGTGACCATATTATACACATCTCTCCATTGTCATCTCAGGGCTTTGCACAACATCATCAATATTTGTTAAAATAAATGACTTTCTTTTAATAGCATAGGTGAGATAACTGTGTGTGTTCCACTTTCTGTATTATCTAATGAAGGCTGTAAAAAAATGTTATAAATTTATGGTCACTCTAGAAGGAGAAGGTTAACATCTAGGTTCAGTTATGCCTCTTATTGTGCAAACCATTGGATTGGGAAGGGAAGTATCTGTTACCAGGTTTGTACATGCAGCACCTCTGTGGGCAGACTTCACAGAGTAACCATTTGATGATGGCTGTGATTGACAGATAAGTCTAAGGACAAAATTTTTTCTTATTTTTACTGTTGCTTATTGTTTCTCCTTTCAGTGTTCTAGGAGTTTTCTCTCCAAAGCAAAAATGAATCTTTTTGGGAGTATGAACAAAATTTGAAAAGTCTAAATGAGGTGGAAGAGTGAACAGAATGACAAGTCTTTATGCCAGTCATCTAATTCCTTTCCTATAACAATGCCTTTCCTGTTTAGCCATTTTGTATATTTAAAAAAATTTTTATTTTGAAAATATTTTAAAAGATAAATAATAAGATAGCCAAGATATGGAAGCAACCTAAGTGTCCATTAGTACATGAATGGATAAAGAAGATGTGGTACATATGCACAATGGAATATTATTCAGCCATAAGAAGAAAACAAATCCTACCATTTGCAACAACATGGATGGAGCTAGAGGGTATCATGCTCAGTGAAATAAGTCAGGTAGAGAAAGACAAATACCAAATGATTTCCCTCATTTGTGGAGTATAACAACAAAGCAAAACTGAAGGAACAAAACAACAGCAGACTCACAAACTCCAGGAAGGGACTAGCGTTTATCAAAGGGGAGGGGTGGGAGAGCAGGTGGAGAGGGAGAGAGAAGGAAGGGTATTGAGGGGTATTATGATTAGTACACATGGTGTTAGAGGGGGGATCATGGGGAAGACAGTGTAGCGCAGAGAAGACAAATAGTGACTCTGTGGCATCTTACTACCCTTATGGACAGTGACTGCAGTGGGGTCTGGGGGGGACTCGATAATATGGGTGATTGTAGTAACCACTTTGTTTTTCATGTGAAACCTTCATAAGGGTGTATATCAGTGATACCTTAATAAAAAAAAGAAAAAAAAAGAAAAATTATAAGAATAGTCAAGTGCATATGCCCTTTCCTTAGCTTCATCAGTTGTTAATATTTTGCCATATTTGCTTTATTAGTCTATATGTATATACATATTATATTTGCTGAACTGTTTGAGAATAAGTTGCAGGCTTTGTGACCCTCCACTCCTAAATCTTCAGAATGTATCTCCTAAGAAAAAGGACATTTTCTTACCTAAGTCTAGTACAGTTATTGAAGTGGGAAAATTTAACATTAATATATAAATATATATAAATAATATATATATATTTATAATATATATAATATATATTNTATAAATATATAAATATATAAAATTTAAAATTTAATATAATGTCAGTTGTCCATATTTAAATTTAATCAGTTGTTGTAATCATGTACTTTATAACATTTTCCCCTCTGATCCAGAATTAATTCAGGGTCATGCAATCCATTTAGCTTCACATATATTTATTTTCTTCCAGTATGGAAGTTTTGCAGCCTTTCTTTACCTTTTATGCTATTTTTTTGAAGAATTTAGGCCTTTTTGTTTTGTAGAAAGTACCTGGATTTGGAACTGATTGTATCCTCATGATTAGATTCAGGTTATGGATTTTTGGCAAGAGTATATCAAATGTGATATTGTGTATCATATCAGCAGGCACATGATGTCTGTTCTATTATTTGTGAATAGTAGTACATAAAACTTAAGTGTGCTATTTAACAAATAGTTATCAAGTGAGTACCTATGTTACTGTTATTTAGTTTAAGAAATATAATGTTGCCTGGTTCTGTGGAATACTGATTTCTGATGAAAGAGGTCCCTGCCCTGGACCTGTGCTTTAGAGGGCCCTGCTTTGGCACTCTGCCATGGGGCAAGGAATCTGTGCAGTCTATTGGACATGCCCATTTGGAGCCTGAACCCTTCCATGTTAGACCATGCTTTGAGTACCTAGGATCTCAGAATTTCTTGCCTGTGTGAGTCTCTTCCCTTGGGTCTGTGCTGCTGAGGGTTGACTAGGCTTCTGGTACCCTTAGGCCCAAGGATGGCTGTTTGTCTGGAGGGGGGAATTGGATAGAGCTTGGGCTTATTAGTGGAGGTGACTGCATGCTAGTGTGCAAAGTCCTTGGCCGTGTGGGATGGAGAAGGGAGTGAAGGGCAGTGAGCCAGTGGTCAGTGTTCCCGGCATCACCATGGAACATCCTATGGAACTCTTAAGGAATCCAGAAGTTCTCAGTATGAATCTGACATTCCAGGCAGTTACAAAGGTCTATATGTCATAATAAGAGGATTGAACATATTTAATAGTTTGTAAGCTTGTTTCGTATCTTTTATAAATCTATGCATGTGGTAGGCAGACTTCTGTTTGTACTCTTGCCTAGGCCCTGTTAATGTTAGAGGTGGGTTTGGCCAGCACCCAATAGTTGCCTGCCTCCCTTTCTCCAGAAATAACTGACTTCTGTGATAGTCATTTCTTTGTTTTTATCGTTTTACCACCTAAATCTATGTCCTTGAAAAATATAATTTATTAGTGCCTACTTATGAATTTTTTAGAAATAGAGTTATTCTGTGTACAGTTTTGCTGCTCTTTTGCTCAAGATGATGTTTGTAAGGGTCCTCCCTATTGTGTGTCACTGTAGTCATTTGTTTTCTTTGTTGTGTAATACACTATAGGATTATATCATAATTATCCATTGTACTGTTGAAAACACTTAAAATTGTTGTTTTTGGCTATTAGGGGGAATGCTGCTGTGATCTTTCTTATTCATAAATTGTGGTGCATGTAAACATACATTTCCATGGGATAGATACCATACTTGATTACTGGGTCATGCTAAATTGTTTTTCAAAATCAGTTATGCTAGTCTATACTCCCTCCAGCAGTGTTTGGTAGCTGTAGTGATCCACAACTTTATCAGTCCTTGACACAATTAGTTGTTGATTTTTGTCAACTTGATGGTCATGTAGTAGTATGTCTTTGTTGTTTTTACATATTTTGTTTTCCTGGTAACTAATGAGATTGAGCACCTTTTCATATGCTTATTGGCCTCTTGAACAACTTGTTTATAGAGTGCCTGTTCAAGTCTCTTGCTCGTTTTTAAATTGAGTTTTCTACCTTTTCCTCATTGACTTATAAGAAATTATTTATATAACAAGGATATTACCTGGTTGTGTGCAATGCAATTAGTTTGCCTCTCACTCTCTTTATGGTATCTTGATCAAAACTTGATTTTAATATACTAGAATTTATCAGCATTTTCCTACCCTACAGATATTTTCCTATACTTTCTAATAAGAAACTTATAGTTTTCCATTTCACATTTAGGACCTTAATCTATCAAGGATTTTGCTTTTCTATTACATGATTAATATCCAGAAAAGTTAAACTCTAAATTTGATTCCTTATCCATAATTTTTGAAAATTGGGAAACTAAGATAATGCTACTCTGCTACTTAAAAAATATTTTTTGATCAAGTATTTCTAAATCATATCTAAAAAATTACCTCATAATGGAGAGATGACAGACATTAGAAAGGCCAGTAAGAAATATTACTTGACTTTAAAGACAGTTATTTTTCCTGGTGATTACTTTGAGTCTCTGTATTATTGTAGACATGTATTGTAAACTCTCATGTATTCTGTGCTCTGAAGAGCATTCTGTGACATTCGTGAAAGGTACATGTGATCTCTCAGTTCTACTTAGACATTGCATCAAGACCTATGACACTGAATGAGACAGCTAAACATTGT